TCAGGAGTTTGAGACCCGCCTGGCCAACATGGTGAAACCCCACCTCTACTAATAATACAAAACTTAACTGTGCATGGTAGTGCACGCCTGTAGTCCCAGCTACTCAGGAGGCTGACACAGGAGAACTGCTTAAATCCAGGAGGTGAAGTTTGCAGTGAGCCGAGATTGTACCACAGCATTACTCCAGCCTGAGCAACAGAGTGAGACTTTGTCTCAAAAAAATAAAATAAATAGAAAAGAAAAAGGATTCCAAATTCCAGAGAATAAAATACTATCGAAGGATGGAAGGAAGGAAGGACAAAGTAGGTGAGAAAAAGAATTAAACAGAATTTCTAGAAATGAAAAGGATAGTCTTTAAAATTTTTTAAATTCAAAGAACGTAAGGATTATCCATGGGTTTTAAAAACCACTGGTCAGGCCAGGCGCAGTAGCTCACACCTGTAATCCCAGCATTCTGGGAGGCCAAGGTGGGCGGATCACAAGGTCAGGAGTTCAAGACCAGCCTGGCCAATAAGGTGAAACCCCATCTCTACTAAAAATACAAATAATTAGCTGGATGTGGTGGTGGGTGCCTGTAGTCCCAGCTACTCAGGAGGCTGAGGCAGGAGAATCGCTTGAACCCGGGAGCAGAGGTTTCAGCAAGCCAAGACAGCGTCACCGCACTCCAGCTTGGGAGAAAGAGCGAGACTCTATCTCAGAAAAAAAAAAAAAAAAAAACCCAAAAACAAAATAAAAAAACAAGCCACTGGTCAAAGGTTACTGGGAAACAAGATAGGCATACCATCTCTGAGTTGGCAGCTACAGATCACCTTTGTCTGGCAGAGACCACCTGAACCAAGTCACAGAAAGACTGACATCATGGGCTTCCTGATAGGATACAACAGGAAAGACACATTATCATCTGTGCAGTCCTTCTGCACAAGTGCCTAACTGGCAAAGGCAGGCCCGAACGGTTCTATTCTTGAGAGCCGACAAGTTGCAAAAGGGAATTTCTTTAAAAAACCCACATCAACTGCCACTTGTAATGGTGAAATTTTAAGAGCATTCTTTTTAAAATCTCTCTATGGTCAGGAACAACACAAGGATGCCCACTTTCACCAATGGTGAATTAGAGAGCCCAGCCAGCATTATTCAGTGTTAGGGGCTGAATGGTGTCCCCTCCCAAATTTACATGTTGAAGTCCTAACCTCCAGTACCTCAGAATGTGACTGTATTTGAATATACAGCCTTTAAAGAGGTAATAAAGTTAAAATGAGGTCAACAGGGTGGGCTCTAATTCAATATAACTGGTGTTCATGTAAGAATAGATTAGGGGCTGGGGCTGGCTCATGTCTGTGATCCCAGCACTTTGGGAGGCCAAGGCAGGTGAATCACTGTTAGTCCAGGAGTTTGAGATGAGCCTGGGCAACAGGACAAAACCCCATCTCTACAGAAAATGCAAAAATCAGCCAGACGTGGCAACATGCCTGTAGTCCTGGCTACCTGAGAGGTTCAGGCAGAAAGATACCGTTAGCCTGGGGAAATAGAGGCTGTAGTGAGCCATGATGACACCACTGCACTCTAGCCTGGGCAACAAAGCCAGAAAAAAAAGGAAGAGGAAGAAGAAAATAGAAGAAAGAAGGACGAGAAGGAAGAGGAGGAGGAGGAGGGAAGAAGGAAGTAGAAGAAGAAAATAGATTAGGACACAGACACATACAAAGGGAAGACCAAGTGAGAACACGGAGAAGACCACCATCTGCAAGCCCAGGAAAAAGGCCTCAGAAGAAACAACCCTGCTGATACCTTGATCTCAGCTGTCATTCATTCAGAACTGTGAGAAAATAAATTTTGTTGTTTAAGCCACCCAGTCGGCAGCCCTAGCAAACTAACAGGGTAGGCAAAAGATTAAGGGCTAAAAAGGAAGAAACAGCTGTTGTATGATTACCTATACTGGGAAAGGCAAGAAAATGTACAAATGCCAGTAACTAACACAAGTTCAGCAAAGTTACTAGACATAAGATCTACACACACGAAAGTCAACAGCACTCCTCCATATGCCAATAACAATTAGAAAACAGCCACAAAGGTGTGACTCTAACAGCTAAAATTTGGAATCAAATTAACTACCCCTCACTAAGAAAATACATAAATAAATTAAGCCAGGCATGGTGACTCATGCTTATAATCCCAACTCTTTGGGAGGCCTGCTTGAGACCAGGAGTTTGAGACTAGCCAGGGCAACATAGCCAGACTGCATCTCTACAAAAAATTTAAGAATCAGCTGGGCGTGGCGGCATGCACCTGTAGTCCTACCTACTTGGGAGTCTGAAGCAGGAAGATTGCTTGAGCCCAGGAGTTCAAGGTTACAGTGGGCTGTGATCATGCCACTGCACACCAGCCTGGGTGACCGAGTGGGATCCCATCTCTTAAAATAAATAAATAAATCTGCTTTGGTATATTTATCCACATATCAAGGGAACACTATAAAGCAGCTCAAATGAATGGAGTGGATCTGCATGAATACATCTTAAAATCATAATGCTGCATTTTTTTTAATGGCAAGAGACACATACACTATATTTCTTGGGGGAGGGTCAGAAATGTCCTCTTTATTGTATGACAGCTCATTATCTTTTGTAGGTAGTTCTCACCATGTGGTAAACATCTGTACTTTACAATGATCAGCATTAAGAGAAGCAGAGAACTGGAAATTGCCCAGAGAATTGGAATGGATAGGCAACACACTTTGGACTAGTCTAGTTCAATTAGGAGATTTTCCTATTCCATCCCTTTTCTGTTTCTTCTATAATAGGCCAGAACGGTTGCAGACTTACAATCTCAGATGGTGACAATGTCATTAATATTTACTCTTGCTGTTGTCATCTATTCTACATTTCTGAAAAAAATTAACATTGATAATAGGGGGAAGAAAAACCCCAAGAACCTCTCTCCCTCCCTCCGTATCTCCCCCCTCCCCCACACCTAGCCTTTCCCACTCTTTCCAGCACCCTCTCATAAGTAATCACCTTTCCCCCATCTGAAACAAATTAACTCCTGGAGAAGAGAGATGTTCCAAGAGCTTTCACATAGTTGTTTCCAAGGAAACAGCTTCTATTGTCCACACACATCCTGCAGCTCAGACAGTAGGTGGCTTTGTATCATCAGACACGTGTTGACCTTCTTCAAATAACTGGGAAAAAACACACTTTAAACTTCATATGGAACCAAAAGAGAGCCAGCATAGCCAAGACAATCCTAAGCAAAAAGAACTAAACTGGAGACAACATGCTACCTGACTTCAAACTATACTACAAGACTACAGTAATCAAAACAGCTGGTACTGGTACCAAAACAGAGATACAGACCAATGGAACAGAACAGAGGCCTCGGAAGTAATGTCACACATCTACAATCATCTGATCTTTGACAAACCTGACAAAAACAAGCAACGGGGAAAGGATTCCCTGTTTAATAAATGGTGCTGGGAAAACTGGCTAGCTATGTGCAAAAAGCTAAAACTGGACCCCTTCCTTATACCTTACACTAACTCCAGATGAATTAAAGATTTAAACATATGACCTAAGGAAAAAACAAAAAACAACATAAGACCTAACACCATAAAAACCCTAGAAGAAAATCTAGGCAATACCATTCAGGACATAGGCATAGGCGAGGATTTCATGACTAAAACACCAAAAGCAATGGCAACAAAAGCCAAAATAGCCAAATGGGATCTAATTAAGAGTTTATATCTATTCATTTTCAACATACACACAAAATTACAGACATTCATGTAAGTTGTACAAGTACAGAGAAATCCACAGGGATGATAAAAAAAAATTATATAAACATTTCATTTTGGTGATAATCCATAGATGTTTGCTATTTCATATTCTTCTGTTCCATATACTTGAAACACTTCATTTAAAAAACAAAACAAAACAGCTGGGTGTGGTAGCTCACACTTGTAATCCCAGAATCTTGGGAGGCAGAGGCAGGCAGATCACCTGAGGTCAGGAGTTCGAGACCAACCTGGGCAACATGGTGAAACCCCATCTCCACTAAAAAATACAAAAATTAGCCAGACGTGGTGGCGCATGCCTGTAATCCCAGTTACTCAGGAGGCTGAGGTATGAGAATCACTTGAATCCAGGAGGCAGAGGATGCAGTGAGCCAAGATAGTGCCACTGCACTCCAGCCTGGGTGACACAGCAAAAGTCCATCTCAAACAAAACAAAACATCCAATTCGTTGAGGCCTACATAGATGCAAACATTAGGCCACGCCGTGGCTCACATCTGTAATCCCAGCACTTTGGGCAGATCACGGGAGGTCAAGAGTTCAAGACCAGCTGGTAAACATGGTGAAACCCCCATTTCTATTAAAAATACTAAAAGTCAGCACCTGTAATCCCAGATATTTAGGGAGGCTCAGGCAGCAGAATCGCTTGAACCCGGGAGGCGGTGGTTGCAGTGAGCCAATAGCGCGCCATTGCACTCCAGCTTGGGCAACAAGAGTGAAACTTGGTCTCAAAAAATAAATAAATAAATAGAGCAAACATTAAATTCTAAAGGGCAGCTAGACACAGTGGCCTGTAGTGCAAGTTATTTGGGGGGCTGAGGTCAGAGGATCACTTGAGTCCACGAATTTGAGACTGCAATGAGCCAAGATCATGCCAATGTACTCCAGCCTGCGTGAGCTGGTCCTGTCTCTGGGGAAAAAAAAAGAAGAAAGAAGAATCAGCTGAGCAAGCAGGCTTAGAGGTACCAGATGCATATTCACACTCAAGACCATGCTATGACCATGGCAGGAAGATCACTTGAGCCCAGGAGTTGGAAGGCCAGCCTGGGCAACACATCAAGCCCCTGTCTCAAAAAAAAATAAAAAAAGACTATTAATATGGATAGCTCAGATACAACCAGTGATTGATACTGTCGTGACATCTTTATTGCTAACTTAAAATTTAAAAATTTAGACCCAGCACAATTTGCACTGGCTCCACCTCTACTTATTAACACTAACCTTCACGGTTCATCCATCCCCTCTCTATGTTTAAGATAATGACTCAAGTTTCTCCTTCCCAGCCTTTTCCTAAAAGAAAAAAAAACGGTCAAGAGTACCTAATAAAAAACCATAATGCAAATGCAAAAGGGCAGGCAGAGTTCATGCATTTAATTTTAGGTCAGTTACTAGGTTTTTCTTGAGCCCTGGCCAGGGTTATTCTGGTACTGGCACAGGGAACATGGTTTGCATGGGTGTGGGTTAAATTAAAAACAAACAAACAAATAAAACTCTCACATCAAGTGCTCAAAGAACATGTCCCTAGGCCGGATCCTTGAGGCAGCTGGACAGGCACCACCCATGATCTAACCAGGACACCTGCCAGGAGATCATAAGTTTGTTTCCCACATTACAGAAAAGGACAGGGGCAGCAGCTAACATAATCATTATTTCAAATACTCTACCACCTCCTTCTTCTGGTGAAAGTATTTTGTAACATTAGAGAAAAGAATTCCACTTTTAATAATGCCATGGGTGACAGAGCACCATACAAAGCTTTCTTTAGGGAATTATATTAAATAACAGATAAGCCACTTAAAATATAATGTTACTTCACTTTTAAGTATGTCACTCAGGCCGGGCGCGGTGGCTCATGCCTGTAATCCCGGCACTTTGGGAGGCCGAGGTGGGTGGATCACGAGGTCAAGAGATCGAGATCATCCTGGTCAACATAGTGAAACCCCATCTCTACTAAAAATACAAAAAATTAGCTGGACACGGTGGTGCGTGCCTGTAATCCCAGCTACTCAGGAGGCTGAGGCAGGAGAATTGCCTGAACCCTGGAGGCGGAGGTTGCGGTGAGCCGAGATCGCGCCATTGCACTCCAGCCTGGGTAACAAGAGCGAAACTCCCGTCTCAAAAAAGTATGTCACTCATGGTTCATAAATGCAGTCCCTTTCCCAAGGGAAAGGGGTATGCCCATCAAATAACTTGATTAAAAATATGGCCATATTGCCTTGTGAAATTAGTGGCAAAAAAGTCAACAGGACAAGGAAGTCTAAAAGTCAAGAGCTTGGGCTGAGTATTGTGGTTCACGCCTGTAATCCCAGCACTTTAGGAGGCAAGAGGATAACTTGAGGCCAGGAGTTCGAGACCAGCTGGGGCAATACAGGGAGACCCCAACTCCATTAAAAAAAAAAATTGGCCGGGTGCAGTGGCTCATGCCTGTAATTCCAGCACTCTGAGAGGCCAAGGCAGGCAGATCACTTGAAGTCAGGAGTTTGAGACCAGCCTGACCGACATGGCAGGTCTACTAAAAATATAAAAATTAGTTGGGCATGGTGGCACATGCCTGTAGTCTCAGCTACTTGAGAGGCTAAGGTGGGAGGATCACTTGAGCCCAGGAGGCAGAGACTGCAGTGAGCTGTGATTACGCCACTGCACTCCAGCCTGGGCAACAGAGCAAGACTCTGTCTCAAAAAATAAAATACATTTTTAAGAAAGTCAAGAGCACCATATGTCCTACACCTAGGAAAGGCGACATCTAAACCACTGTAAGAGATTCCAAAGCTTAAATTCTGAAAGTCAAGACCACATTTTAAAAGTACAAAGTGGATGGGCACAGTGGCTCATGCCTGTAATCCTAGCCCTTTGGGAGGCCAAAGCTGGTGGATCACCTGAGGTCAGGTGTTCAAGACCAGCCTGGCCAACAGGGTGAAACCCTGTCTCTACTACAAATACAAAATTAGCTGGGCATGGTGACCCATGCCCATAATCCCAGCTACTTGGGAGGCTGACGCAGGAGAATCTCTAGAACCAGGGAGGTGGAGGTTGCAGTGAATGGAGATTGCGCCATTATGCTCCAGTCTAGACAACAAGAACAAAACTGTCAAAAAAAGAAAAGGAAAAGCAAGAACCGTCCTGATTTGCAACAGGTTTCTTGGAAAAGCAGTACTCCACCCAACCCAGAGATCTTCCATGTCTCTTACATGCTATCTTCTATACCTACCGATGTATTTATACTCTATACTGTATCTTTTATCAGATTGTATCAGACTCTAAGCTCCACGAGGGCAAGAACCATTTCTTATCCATTTCTGTGTATCTATGAGAACTGAAAATGATTCCCTGCATATATTATAGTTCAACGTTCAGTAAGTATTAGCTGGGTTTAAGTGAATCCAGCACAAAAAGGCCTGGTGAAGTAGAAGGCAATGAGAACTGTACAGTTTTGGAAGGCAGCCTGTTCAAAAACATGTCTAAAATGTAAAAGAAGAACAGCCAACTTTTGCAAGAAAGAGATAAAGCGTTCCTCAAAGTAAAACTGAGGAAGGGAAGCACCAATTTCTTCTCACAAGCTTCTGAAAAGATAAAAGCATGTCTGGTTTCAATCATAATGTGCTATAGGCTTAGGCAAGAACAGGTGAAAAATATCTGATAAAAGCAATCATCTATGAAGTTGGCCACAGCTCAGGGCCAAGGGAACCAAACTTGGCCAGGCTGCTTAGAAACTCACTGGTATAAATATGGCTTTAAAACATGGGAGGTTCAAAAGAGGAGAGATGATAAATGCATCAGTCTCAACTTGTTCTTTATTGTAGACAGTCTCCCTCTCCTATTCAAATATTTTTGGAGTGCCAACTACCAGTGAGACAAGGAGGCAGGGTGACACCAAGTATAACACCAAGGGAAGCACTCAAGGGTCATCTTCACCATGCTGGAGCTGGCCTTGACCTGCATTCCCTTTGGCTATTAAACCCAACATGCCAAACCTGGAAGAATGCCAATGCATCAAGCATTGATGTACGCCAGGCCTTCGCTTCTTACAACCTCTCAAACAGCAGTAAGCTGATTTCAGGCCCTCTGTGAGAGGTCACAAGGACCCCGAATGAAAAAATACCAGGATTCAAAAACAGGTAACCATTCTGCAGAAATCAACAGGCTGATCCAAAAATATACATGGAAATGCAAAGAACCGAAAGAGCCAAAACCCAACTCTATTTTGAAAAAGAGGAGCAAAGATGGAGACCGTACCCTACCCAATTTCAAAACCTACCATAGAGTTGCAAGTAACCACAATAGCAACAGACATAAATCAATGGAACAGAATTGAAAGTCCAGAAATAAACCACTACATTGATGATCAGTTGATTTTGCAAAGGGAATTCAGTGGAGAAAGGATGGTCTTTTCAACAAATGATGCTAGTACAACTAGATATACTTGTGTTTACAAAAAAAAAAAGAAACAGACACCTTCTCCCTCATACCACATCCAAAAATTAACTCAAAATGGATCACAGACATATATAAGAGCTAAAACTAAAAAACTTCTAGATGAAAACAGGGAAACTTTCTGTGACCTTAGACTAGAAAATTTTTTTTCCTATAATACCAAAAGCATGATAGGTAAAAGCAAAAAATTGATAAATTAGACAATGAAAATTAAAAATGTTTGTTCTTCCAAAGATACCATATAAGCAAATAAAAGCACAGACCACACACTGGAAGAAAATAGTTGCAAATCATATCTGATAAAAGACATTAATAATATGTAAACTCTTACAACTCAGTTAAGATGACAAATAACTCAATTTTTAAAAATGAGGATATACAGAAAATCATTAGACCTTTCTCTCAATTTTGCTGTGAACCTAAAACTGCTCTACTAAAAGAATTAAGTATTTTTTTTTTTTTGAGATGGAGTTTTGCTCTTGTTGCCCAGGCTGGAGTGCAGTGGTGTGGTCTCGGCTTACTGCAACCTCCGCCTCCCAGGTTCAAGTGATCTCCTGCCTCGGATTACAGGCGTCCCCCACCACACCTGGCTAATTTTCTTTTGTATTCTTAGTAGAGATGGGTTTTCACCATGTTGGTCAGGCTGGTCTCGAACCCCTGACCTCAGGTGATCCACCCATGTCAGTCTCCCAAAGTGCTAAGATTACAAGCATGAGCCACCACACCCAGCCCAAGAGTTGAGTCTTAAAAACAAGCAAAAAACAACAAGTATACAAAGATTTGAATCAACATTTCACCAAAGGAGATAAACAAATTGCTAATAAGTACATGAAAGGGGCTCATGAGTAGCTAAGGGAATACAAATTAAAATCACGGTGAGGACTGGTGAGGTGGCTCACACATGTAATCCCAGAACCTTGAGAGGCCAAGGTGGGAATATCACTTGGATCAGGAGTTGGAGACCAGCTGGCCAACAAGATGAGAACCCATCTCTAATTAAAAAAAAAAAAAAAATACAAAAACTAGCTCTGCCTGGTGGCATGCATATGCAGTCCCAGCTATTCTGGAGGCTGAAGTGGGATAATCACCTGAACCTGGAGGCAGAAGTTTCAGTGAGCAGACTGCACCATTGCACTCCAGCCTGGGCAACAGGATGAGACCCCTCTCAAAAATAATTAATCAATTAAAATCACAGTGCGGTACAACTACATACCTACTAGGAAGACTATAATCCGTAAGTCAACAATACAAGGTGTTGGCAAGGATGTGGCAAAACTGGAACTCCCAACCAGTGACCATGAAAATGTAAAATGTACAGCCACTTTGGAAAAGTCTGTCAGTTTCTCAAACGTTTAAACACAAAATTCTCTTATGGAATCATAGCCACATAAAATCATGAACATGAATGTTCACAGCAGTATCATTCATAATTGTCCTAAGCTAGAAAGAGTCCAAAAGTCTTTCAGCTGATGAATGGATAGACTGAGTGTGGTAAGTTCATATAATGGAATACTATTTAGCAATAGAAACTACTGATGTCAGCACAAGCTACTGAAACATACTCAACATGTACCAACTTAAAAACATGATGAGTGGGCCGGGCGAGATGGCTCACGCCTGCAATCCCTACATTTTGGGAGGCCAAGGCAAGTGGATCACCTGAGGTCAGGAGTTCGAGAGCAGCCTGACCAACATGATGAAACCCTGTCGCTACTAAAAATACAAAAGAGTTAGCTGGGTGAGGTGGCGTGCACCTGTAATCCAGCTACTCAGGAGGCTAACGCAGGAGAATCGCTTAAACTCAGGAGGCGGAGGTTGCAATGAGCCGAGATCACACCACTGCACTCCAGCCTGAGTGACAGAGCAAAAACTCCATCTCAAAACAAAACAAAACTATGGTGAGTGAATACCAAATGCAAAAAGAATACATATGATTCTATTTATATGAAATTCCCAGAAAAGGCAAATCTAGAGAAAGAGCAGTTGCCTGGTGGGGAGCAGAGACTGACTACAAACAGACTAAGAACTTTCTTAAGGGCCAGATGTGGTGGCTCACATCTGTAATCCCCGTACTTTGGGAGGCCGAGGTGAGAGGATCACTTGAGTGAGCCCAGGAGTTTGAGGCTGAGGATGAAAAAAAAAGAAAAGAACAGAAAAGAAAAAAGAAAAGAATGAGGAAAGGAGGGAGGTGGGAAGGGGAAGGGGAGGCGGAAGGGGAAGGGGAGGAAAGGAAGAACAAACTTTTGAGAGAAGGAAGTGTTTATAAAATTGGATTTTAAGCCATGAGTGGTGGTGCTCGTCTGTAGTGCCAGCTACGTGGAGGCTAAGGAAGGAGGATCCCTTGAGCCTAGAAGGTCAAGCCTGCAGTGAGCTATAACCATGCCACTGCACTCTAGCCTGGATGACAGTCTTACTCTGTCTCCACGAAGAATTTTAGTGATGGTTGCATAACTCTATATATTTACTAAATATCACTGAATTGAATACTTGCAATGTATGAATATTATAGTATGTCAACTATACCTCAGTTTCAAAACAGTAACAACCAATACCCCACAATATCTGGAGGATCCCTAACTGCAGATTCCTATATATAGTGAAAATCTTTTGGGATACTTTCTGGTAGAACTGTGGTTTTGTGGCAAAGAACTGTGAAAGGGATTTCTCTATTAATAGTGCTTCTTCAATGTGAGCACATATAAGAATCACCTGGAAAACCTGTTAACAGACCAGCAGCTCTCCTCCTGTGTGGATTCAGTAGGTCTGGAGTGAGGCCCATAAATCTGCATTCCTAAAAGCTCCAGGACCACTCATTAAAAACAAAGTCCCACCAGAGATCTACTGTATCACAATCTCTAAGAAAGGGGAATCTGCGAATCTATACCTCCTACAGGTATCAGGGAGAATCTCATGACTGATCTTATGGTTTAGTACCTCGTAAACTACAACACTCTCATATACCATCAACTCCAAGAATTTTTATAAGTAGTTTGAAGAGTAAAATCTTTGTGTTCCTGTGTTAAAAATGATAAAGCAAATTATCTGTATTTTAAGTGGTTCTTAGTCTTTAGGGTTCTGTCTTAGACCTTTCTTAAAAAAGCAATTTGCAGGAAATCAACTTATATTTATTCAAGGTATTCTAAATAGGTTTCCGCATAAAATAAAAAAACTTTTCCTCCTGCTGTAGGACTTTTAGTACCAAAAAAAATAATTTTCCAAAAAAATAATAAATAATAAATAAAATACAAAGTTTCTCCGTTAAGAATGTTTAGGCTACTTTTCAAGTTTACTCTAATTTTAAATCTGTTCATTTCAAGACCACGTTCTTCTGAATTTCCAACAGGATTGTGTAATTGTTAGATCGACAGGAACTATTAATTCTGCACAACTCTGATAGGCACTGACAATAACAGGAGAGAGCCATTTTCAATGGTTCGATTCAAGAATTTATCACATACTGGAATCTAATGCTGTGCTTAACACAGAGGTTAAACACAGAAGAAGATATGGTTCTTACCAGGAATTCACCAATGATTATAAAAACAATAGTACTCAACATCAGTATATACTGGAGCAGATGGGGAATTTTTACAGAAGTAGGACTGTGTCCTAAAAAAAAAAAAAAAAACAGCACTTGAATTATTTTCAATTTTTCTTATCAGTATGGCTCAAAGGAGTGGGAGGACTCACAGTCTTGCACACTGGAATGCCATGTTACATGAGACAGAAAGAGCCAGACTGCAGACCTCAGTGGGATCATGCTTAGAAGAACACACACACAGGACTTCCCATAGAGCATCACTGTTTCTTTAGGGATTCTTATTTAATTGGCCGAGTGGGGCTCAAGCTTTCCAAGCAAAGAGTTCTGTGGTAAATTGTTTCTAAAGATAGATGAAACAAAAGTGTCCATCTCACAGCTCCTCTGCAATTCCTCTCTCCTGCCCTTCCCCTTGCCACAGTGCCAAACCAAATTCTTGTGGAGAATGCCATATAACTTCCAAGGCTATGTCCTAGGTGAATTACAGCTTCTGCCTTTGCTGCCTGGTATGCTCACTTTTGGAATTTGGCTGCCAAACAACAAAACCCAAGCTAGTCACAACTAGAGAGATAGTCACAGGGAGAGAGAGAAGTCTTGGCCTCCTAGTCATGCCCACCAACTTGCCAGATGGGTGAATGAAGCCATCTTAGCCATTCTAGTCACTATTTGACTACAATGTCATGAGACACCCTAGCTCATGACACATAGTCACATAGAGAAGAACCATCCAGCAGAGCCCTGCCTGAATTCCCAAGTCATAGAATCATGATCAAACACAAAACAGATGTTTTAAGCCAATAAGTTTTGAGGTAGGTTTTGTTCCCTAACAACAGACAACAAAATTAGGCTTCAAGTCTGCTCTGGAACATTCTTCTAGGTAAATGATATGCAGTTCATAGTCAACATATATGGACTCAGTCTCTACACTTCAGAGTGTAGAGAAGCTTGAAATCTTGCTATCAGAAGGAAGAAAATAAGTGTTCACAAGCAAGATTCAATCCACTTCCTTATCATAGACTTTTCCACGTGTCAGCAAAAGGTTTTGTTGCTTCCCAAATTTTGTATTAGGAAAGCAGGTTATATGAGTGCTTTAACTCCTTTCTAAAGGTCTTGCTAACTAAAATCAGTGGTTAGTGACATGTTTTCAGCTCAGTACTCTCCTTCCTCTAAGCACATTGTATTCATAGATTTGGGGGTCTAGAAACCATTTTTTACAATTTTAAAGGAAACAGAAGAAAAGGTGAATTGAAGAGAAGGTCAAGGGTGGAAGGAAATCTGCCCACAAACAAGAAGAGCAGGCCAGGAATGGTGGCCCATGCCTATAATCTCAGCTCTTTGGGAGGCCAAGGCTGGTGGATCACCTGAAGTCGGGAGTTTAAGACCAGCCTGGCCAACATTATGAAACCCTGTCTATACTAAATATAAAAAAATGAACCAGGCATGGTGGTGCATACTTGTAATCCCAGCTACTTGGGAGGCTGAAGCACCAGAATCACTTGAACCCGGAAGGCAGAGGCCAGATCGCACCACTGTCCTCCAGCCTGGGCAACAGAGGTAAACTATGTCTCAAAAACAAACAGAAGAGTGAAGACCAAATGACATTAAAACTGAGTATTTCCAGGCTGCCTTGTTTAACAAAGCAAATGAGACACAGGACAGGCATTGTACACCTATCTACTG